TTATTATATAATCTTGAAATTTTATCAAGTAAAATATTACCATTATCAACAAATAATGGTATACATCAAAGTTCAAAGTTATTTCGACAAGATTTTATTGAACAATCAGGTATTAAATTTTTATTTGAATTACTTAATTCATTAAATAATTTAATTCATGATGAATATCAATATTCATTATGTCAAGAAATGACAAGACTTATTTTACAACTTTTACAATTATTTATTTGTGGTTGTAAACAACAAGATAATATTATTTCACCATCATCATCACCATTATTACAGATATCACAAATAATTGATGATAATATGAATGATATAAATGATAATGATTTTCAAGCAACTGTTGAACATTTACGATTTGAAGAATTTGTTGAACAAATAAAACAATTAATTTTTTTATGTTGGGCAGCTGCAGCTGGAAATATTCAATTACATGGACAAAATATAAATATAAAAGAACAAATCAAATTAGATCGTCATGTATTACTACAACAAATAAATGCGAATGTTTTTAGTCGAAATAGTAGAAATTCTTCATCAAATGAATTATCAATAAATAATGATATACAAAAAACAGTACAATTTGGTATATGTGTGAAAAAAGATTCAATTTCACCATTGGATAGTGAAATAGCTGAGAACATTATTGAAATTATTATATTTTGCTTTGAAAAACGACCAGAATTCATTGGTAAGTATGACTATTTGAGTTATAGAATTTTAATTCAGTATTTAAAATTATTCAATGTTTTTGTTTTTGAAAATATGAAATCAACCTTGAATAAAATGAAACCTGAGAAAACTTGCCAAATGTTACAAAAAGAAATCGAATGAACATACAATTTGATGTCAATTTCGATCTAAAGATTGATCTAACGAGTAGGCATGCATCGAACCCGAACTCTGACTCGGGTTTCAAAACTATCCAACCAGTTTAGAATGTATCGGATGATTGTCCAAACATTTTTTGAGTTATACGAGCAATCATGAAAACATCCTAAGGTTCGGGTTCGAACATTTTTGAACATTGTTGACTTTTTTATAATATCTGCAGACCTTCTGTTTTTATATCATTTATTCCACTGCGTATAGGTCTACCAAACCTGAAATCTTTTCTTATGGCTTATTTCTGCTTCCTTTTATTAATTAACTAAAAATGATTGCGTCCAAGACCGAACACGAACGTTCTGATTTGGTGCATGCCTATTTACAAGAGAATACTCACAACTGTAAAATCGTTTTTTGCTTGAAATTATTATCATTCGATTGATCATGATGGGCAATGAATAAGTCTATTCTGTTTAGGTGAACAGAGAACAAACTCATTTCTATGATAGAAATCACTGTAACACCTTAGGAATACGAATAATGACTGGAAGCGGTTAAAAATTATTGGAAACTATCAGAAGACATTAGAAATCATTATGAATCATAGAAAATCTCCAATAAAAAAAAACTAAAAGTAGAACCTTGATTTCGAGCAATTTCTAATAATTTTTATTGATTTTCAACAATTGCCAATATTCCTAGTGGTTGCTTTTGATTTCTAATGATTTTTCGAGATTTGCCTTCATTTCTAGGCATTTCCGATAATTCCTAATGGTTCACGATGAACAGATAGAAATTAATTTCCAGTGAAAGAAATTACTAGAAATCAGTTTATTTCCCTTGCTTTACTAATATAGATTTATAGGGTTACTTACTTCACCCTGCTAGATAGAACAGGGTAAGAACTCGAAAATTTTTCTCAGTCAGGGTACAGAATACGAAAAAAGTTTATCCTATAGCATCTTTCGTGTGTTTTGTTTTGTATCATTTTAACTTATTCGTCTGTATTGATGCCGACATATACAAAAGAAGCTTTTCTTCTATAAGTGAAAAATTTCTCGATTCATTTTTGAAGATCTATCTAATTCATTCTATTAGGAGATTATTTTAAGAGCATTTAACGAGAGAACCCTTTTGAAGCGATAAATCGTTTTTCAATACGGGCTCTATCCATAAGGTAGACTGTAGTGGAATATAAAAAATTCCGAAAGGATAAGTGCCATTAGACATTTCCTGTAGAGTAATGTACCAATAAATGGAATGATGATATTTTAACTTGAAATTTGTTCTAATTGTGATTAGAGTTTTCCAAAAAAATTTCAGCTTAAGTGAATGCTTCGTTTGCGAGATATTGAATTCCTAAAGGCCACTCATTTACCTCAAGAGATTACAGAATCTCAGATTTTTTGGAAATTCAATAGCTCGCGAAGAAAACATTCTTTTGAGTTGAAAACTTTAGACCGAAATACTGTCATTCGATTGGTTGGTACTCGTCGTAAAATAGGCTAAAACTCCAGTAAAACAATCTTAATCTTGAAGGGAAGATCTAACGAGGGAACCACCCGAGATGATACCTTGGATTTGAGATAAGATCCCAGCTATTACGTAGGGCCTCTTGAGACTAGAACAATTTTTCCCCGTGGGCTGTCATTTTGAAGCTATGAACGTTGTACTTTTTTACTAGAGCCTATCTTATGTATAGAGTCCAGCCTGGAAAATGATTTATAACTTGAAACTAATGAAGAAGTTCTTGATCAGATGTAGATATATTCAGAAAATTTTTCTATGGTAACTTTTTTTCTGTTTTTCTTCCATAGCTACTTTTCTTGTTCAATCATTTTTTGCTGATTTTCTTTTGGAAATTTTAATTGGTACAAGATCTCGTGAAGTTCGTCAATGTGCATTACGTAATGTAATTCGTTTATGTAAAATTGAAACATCAACATGTGATATACGTTTAATAATTCATCAAATATTAATCAAAGCACGTTTACCATTATGGTCATCATCATGTGTTGGTACACGTAATTCAAATCAAAAATTACTTGCACAATCAATTGAATATTTTGATTTACGTTGTCAATTAATGGAAAATTTAACAAAAGAAAAACAAGATATACTTGGTATAAATGCAAAAATATTATTATCCAATGAATTTTCATGGTTATCAACATATACTATATCATTAATATCAAATGAACTACGTACAATTGATAATGTATTATTTATAGGTCATTTAAAATTTATTCGTACATTATTAACATGTGAAAATATAAATAAAAATAAAATTGGAATTGATTTTATTCGTTTACTTATTGATCAATTTTTATTTCCAGCATCAAAACATATGTCATTACCAAATGTATCAACAAATAATGAATATGATTTAAATGATAATTCAATATTTGAACCAAAATGTTCAACAAGTGAAAGTCGTCTTGCAGCATATGATGTACTTGTAGAATTAGTTCGACATTGTCAAGCAAATTTAAAAATTGTTGTTGATGATCTTATTAATCTTCATCATAGACCTATACTTGAAAAACAATGTGAATGGGAAGTAAGTTTTAATTTATTATTATATTTATAAAACATAAATTTAAATAAATAAATTATGTATGTTTTAGTTTATGCCACAAGTTAATCCTCGAGCATCATGTGGATTCGTTGGTCTTTATAATGGTATGTGTAGTCTTGTGATTTGTTAAAGAAAAATTTGATTAGATAAATAGAAAATACATTTAAAATTCTACCTAGTCTATTACGAGAAATTCATTTAGTTGACGAGTATTTTTTTAGTCAAACAAAGTACTCATTCTCAGAATCTTCATATAGCAATGATAAATCAATGTCAAATTGTTTACCATAAAATGTTTTAATTCTCTCAACGACTTTTGTGAGATTTTTTTTTTAACTTAGCACCATTGAGGTAATAAATGAGAGGCTGAAATTTAACTTATTATTTCAGGATAAAAAGCCTTAATTCTATGAATAGTTAGTACACTCCATAATACTTACCAATATGTACTTTCGTTCAAATGTAGAGGTTAGTACCATGCGATCCTGTCGAGCACTAAGAGTTGTATGTGAAAAAATTATGTAACTGCTATTGCCAGTCACAGGGCGATTATTTTATTCTATCTATTTTGGAACACATTTCTTCAGTATCTTCTATGATTATGTCTGTCACATTGGTAATGTGTCATCAGTAAGATGTCTGTCTATCAATCCCATCTTTTACAATCTGCGGAAAGGAAGGATCAGTGCAAGTGTCTATCCTATATACTTCAACACTCGTTTTAGATCATTATCTATTTAAATAAGAACGAATTTCAAACAGTAAGAAATAGAGCCTATCGAGCCCAAAATTTTCGGACCTACACCAACACTCGAAAACGTTTTCAGGATCCGATCGAAACGTACTTTGATACTCTCACTGAAATTTTCTAATCGAAATTGAATAGTCATCCGGAAGATTTGAAATATTTTTTTTTGCAATTTTTGGATTCGATGACTAGCACACTGTACAGATTTCTCAGAAGACTAGAGTTCATCGGATCGAAAACTTTTGAATTTGAGACCAACTTGATGGACTTTAATCATTTATTTTATTGCAACTTCATACTTCTTGATGACCACTATAAGGCGTTTTCTAATCCAATTTGTCTATTTCTTTCATTCATACTTCAAGGATATGAATGTTTTTCTTTTGCTTAGGTGGTGCAACTTGTTATATGAATTCTATTCTTCAACAATTGTATATGGTACCTCAAATATCAGAACATATATTAAGTGTACATGATGATGGTGAACATATAAATGGAGTAAATAAAACTAGTGATTCAAGTTTATTTTATCAAGTTCAACAAGTTTTTGGTCATTTAATGGAAAGTAAAATGCAATATTATTCACCTGAATCATTATGGAAAGTATTTCGTTTATGGGGTCAAGAAATAAATGTCCGTGAACAACAAGATGCCTTTGACTTTTTTACATCAATGACTGATCAAATTGATGAATATTTAAAAAGTATAAAACAAGAAGAAATTTTTCATAAACAATTTGGAGGAATTTTTTGTAATCAAATGATATGTATAAATGGTTGTAATCATCGTTATGAAGGTGAAGAAAAATTTATGGCATTAAATGTTGCTGTTAAAGTTGATTCACTTAATGAATCATTAAATCAATTTGTTAAAGGTGAAGTACTTGATGGAAATAATGCTGTAAGTTAAAATATTTCTTTTTCTTTATAAATACCAAGAAAAAAAATCCTCGTTCTTTTTTCTTTTTGTTCTAATAGTATTTTTGTGCTAAATGTCAAGAAAAACGAACAACAATTAAACGATTATGTATTAAAAAATTACCACCATTATTATGTATACAAATGAAACGTTTTGGTTTCGATTGGGAAAATAATCGTGCATTAAAATTTGATGATTATTTTAAATTTCCTATCATACTCAATATGGAACCATATACATTAGAAGGTGTTAATAGACGTGAAAGTTTTATTGAACATGATGATTTAGTTACTAATACAAATGGATGTTCAACTATTAATTCATCATCAACAACAATAGGTATATTTGCTTTTCAGCTACTTATAAAGCAAGATGTTTTTTTAGACAGTTTAAATAATATTTAAATCGCAAATATTATTTTAATTGATCACTATATAATGCGTCTAATGAGGGAAGGTTGCCAATTTGCGGACGCCGTTTGATTTCATATTATGGCTACGACGTAGATCTCTATGAGACTAAGAAAAGACTAAAAGGATTCAGACCTATGGCTTATTACTGAAGAATTATGGCCGTTTTGCTAAATTTTGAGCCCGTGGTAAGGGATTTTCGAAACAATTAAATTAAAGAATTTCGACCTGAAATTTTGCCTATAGATAGATCTAATGGTCCTTAGAATCGCCTGAACGTTTCAGTCGAAATAAATGTTTCTTTCTCAAGATATTGAATTCGATTTTTGCGACCTGTCTCTGAAAAGTGATAATTTCTTGAAAATTCCATATCTCGAGAAAGAAATATTTGTTTCGGGTGAAATATTCAGACAATTCTAAGGATCATTAGACCTATCTATGAGC